AGCCTGGATGCACAGCACTGCCCCAGGTGGCTTCCTGGAAAACCTGGGCATGGTCTGGAGCTTCTTTTCTGAGCCCAGCTGAATAGCTAACACAAAGGTCACTTCAGCCAACAGGGACAGTCTCATCCATTGAACATCAGGACAAGTTCTCTCCGTGCCCGCCTCATACATCATAGGCACTCTGTAAGTAGGAACTGTGATTATACCCATTTCAAAGATGAACACACAGAAATGAGGGATAAGGACAAGGACCAGGACCAGAGCCGCGAGATGGTGGGCCTGAGATGGCTTTCTTACCCACATGCTCATAAGCGGACTTCAGACAGAGTATGATGTTGCCCAAGTAGACCAGGAGCTGGCTAAGGCTGGCGTGACAAAGACTCCTGACCTTCCCCTGCTCCTCCTGCTGCAGTGTCAGGTCCTGTGTGCCAGCACCCCAGTTTCAGAGATATTTGGGGAATTAAACTTAGGTCATTTGGTGTGCTAGGCTAGCATACTACCCCATAGTTCATTCCATACACACTTCCAGCTCTGAATAAAACTCACATGGCATCAAGTCAGTGTCTTTACATACACCTTACCTTCATGTGCTTTTTGCCTGGCAAACCTTCTCCTGTAATTCTACCTGGTATGTGTCTGTCTGTCTTTCTTTCTTTCTTTTAAAATATTTATTTATTATGTATACAATATTCTGTCTGTGTGTATGCCTACAGGCCAGAAGAGGGCACCAGACCTCATTACAGGTGGTTGTGAGCCACCATGTGGTTGCTGGGAATTGAACTCAGGACCTTTGGAAGAGCAGGTAATGCTCTTAACCTCTGAGCCATCTCTCCAGCCCGTCTGTCTTTCTTTCTAAGGTGACCTCTTAAGGCCACCTCTCTGTTATGAACAATTATGGCCATCTCCACCTAACACCCAGAGCTCAGACTACCCTGGCTGGCTGCCCCAGAGTATGGGCTTCTTAGAGTCCCCTCAGCATACCCAGCTCCTAGTATAGCACCCAGACAACTAGATGCTAAGGACTACGTTCATTCCATATATTTTCCTGGCCAGTCATGAAAACTAGAGCAGGAAAAAAAAAAAAAAAAGAGGTGTGGTTCCTGTTGCCCAGGGGCTCCATAGTAGCAGACATTCCTAATGTCTGTGGCAACAGTTGTGGGGAGCTAAAAGGCCCTGTGATCCAGCCAGGATGGGAACTAGAGAAGGTGGGTCTAGGGGGAGGGGAAGTGCTCCAGGTGAGACCTTGGCAAGAACAGTGTATCTATCCCTCAAGGTCCATGGTCTGTGTGGTTGAGAGCCAGGCCTGAGGTTTGCCTCATGGCTCATGTACTCATCCATCCTGAAGATCTCTGCTGTCTGGAGTGGGTTCTGAAGATTGATTTTGCAGGACAAAGGAAATGCAGTCTTCCGTGGAGGAGGTTAGAGGAGGATCTATCCCTGGTAGGGTTTTGGCATTCTGGAAACCAGGAATCTCTGGGAGGCGAGAAGAGTTCCTTCTGAACTTTTCTGTGGTGGTCTCAGCTGCCTATTTGAGGACTAAGTGTCAAGCCAAGCCTCTGGGGCTGCTGGCCCCAAGACAGGCTGGTTTTACCAGGGAGTGGACCTGCACAATGGCTTGATTGTCAGAGGCCTGGCTCCCCAGCCAGCATCTTAGCATTCCTGTGATCAGAATGTGTCTCAGAGTGATGTGCACATGGACAGGATGCTGTAACCCTCCCTCAAGCAGTTATTGAATCAGCCTTCAGGAGCAGGGTACAGCTTTGTCATAGAAACTCCTCCAAATAAGGTTTCTGGAGTGGCCTATCTATCCCCACAAACTCCAGGATGCCTATAACTAAGTAGCCTCTTTGGTGTTTCACAAAAATTTACAGAAAAGACCCACTTCTCCATACATCAGTTCCTCCTGGAAGCTTCTACTACATGGCTGTGCCAGATGACTGTGGGCTGGGCTAGAGTGACCAGGTCAAAGTGAAAGGTTCCCCTTTGGCCCACTGATGGAGAGATGTGGAAGAAGTACTGTTTCTGCACCTCACTTCTCACTTCTGAACCCTCGGGACAGTGCTGCTCATCTTGGGGACCCTTTCAGTTGCCACGGCCACCTCTTATGACTCATAGCATCTGTTGAGTGTTTATGGTGTCTGCCTCATCTTGGTGGGCTCAGGTTCTACACAGCAGTTCCACCGAGTATACTCTAAGTTGAGAACATTCCAGATGAAATAGGCTATGATTGAATGAGAGGCCAGAGGCTGAATATACCTTCTGTCCGTTTTGTTTCCAGATGCCTGATGCTGCCTCAGGAACTGTTAGGTGTGGCATAGTATAGATGGTGAGCTCCCGTGTAGCAGCCTTGAATTATTTCCCCAAATAGTGATGAGAGAATGCCTTCATCCATCTGCTCACGTGGATGAATATTTACTCAAGGCACTGGCCCCCATGTGCAGAGTGTGAGGAATGGTGTCAGGTTGTGAGGACAGCAGAGAACATGCAGCCAGACTTTCTATGCTGCAGATGTAGTCTCCACAGAGAAGGCAGCATGGAGACCAGGGAAGCACCCTGCTCTCAGAGTGATTAGGGGCAGCAAAACCAGACTTGACTGTCAGTGACACAGGGTGGCGTTAGAATAGGAGGAGTTAGGATACTTTGTGGAGTCGTAGAGTAGGATGGAAACAGGCAAAGGCTTTAGAACTATATCCTAGGTTCAAGTCCCATGGATCACATGACTGTTGCCTTAGGCAAGTTAGCCTTCCTCAGCCTTTATTCTTCCATCTGAAAAGAGGGTGCTAAAAGCAGAACCTGTTTCCTAGAGTAGGGGTAGGGATGGAATGGCTTAAAGTGCCTGCTCAGTGGCTAACTTTGTAGACTTGTGTGGGGTCCTTGCCTGTAAACCCATAGCCGTGCTACGTAATTCTCAGGATCATGCATGCTGCCCACCTATCTCTGCAGTGTCTGTCCTTACCTAGTGATAATCTGTTTGTGTTAGCCAGGTTCACAAAGCCAGAGCATACAGAGGCCAGAAAGCCATTGCGTCCAGATTATAGCAGAAAACCTTCAGTGCCACCCACTCTAGAAGCTCGGGCTGGAAAGCATATACTTCACGGCCACTTTCCAAATGTCTCCAAGACCTCAAGAGCCCAATTGGCCCTCTGGAATTGTGGGAGGAAAGCTGCTGTCCCTGGGCTCAGATTCACTGGTATTGTGTGGCACTAGTCCATCATGGCCAGGCTTGCTGGAGGCTTCTCTGCCTGTCCCTCTGAAAGACAGGTGTGGCTGGCAGTCCTCTTGAGGGACCATGGAAGGTCCATGTTTCTGTCCCTGCAGATCTGACAGGGATGTCAGTAGGCAGACCAGGAGCACTCAAGGTGGTGCATTGTGTCACTATGCCTGCAAGAGTAGTACTGGAGGTTTTGATCTGTTTCTGTATTTCCTTCGAGTATACTTCTTGGCTGCAGAAATGCTACAGGTAGCCTCAAACCCTGGGCCTAGATGCAAAGACCTCACCCTTTAATACAGTGTCTCACATAAAATTATTCTGTTGCTACTTGATAACTGTAATTTTGCTACTTTTATGAATTGTGATGTGAATATCTGATATGCAGGATACTTGATGTGTGACCCCCTGTGGGCTTGAGAACTGCTGCCTTAGCAGAATATATCCAGAACAGGGAAAGAATTGGGGTACTTGTTTTCCCCTCTGAACAGTTCTGATGGTTGGGCTCTCAGTAACTAGTGTTCAGAGTTTTTAGAGGCTCTGGACACAGGCACTGGGCTGTGGACTGAGGCCTCATGTGCCACCCCAGAGAACAGTGATGTATGACTCGGAGTGGCCCTGAAGCCACTGTGAGATGGAAACGGTTAGATGTGTGCTGTGGGGTAGCTGCAGGTGCCTGCTCACCTACTGCAGAGCTGGGCACTCTCACTGCTCCATTTCACAGCTCAGGAAACAGGCTCAGAGCCACTGGGCTAATTCTCAGAAGAGCTCAGACTTGGAGCCAGCTCATAATCTCTGCTATACTCTGCCTGTACTCAGAAGAACCCATGTGGAGAGCATTGAGCTAGCTTCAGAACTGGTGTTCTCAGTCTTCCTCCCAGCCCCTGTGAAAAGGGATCTTTTTCTGAGTGACCACACTGGCCTCCGGGAACTCTCCTACTCCCGCAGCAGAGGCAATAGCTGACCCGTGACACAGATGTCACAGGGAGAGGGGAGGGATCGACAGAACATTTCTGTTTGGAAATTATCTCATGCTGAGTCTTTCAAGGGACTCCTTATGTGGCGCCTGCAGCGTCCCCTCACGAGGCCACCGGGAAAGCATGCCCTCCAGTTTCTCAGCATAGCCTGCTAGTTGGAGACCTGGGGGCCATCTGCTGTGTCCTTGGGCACAAGGGAAAGTCAGGACAACACTTTGCCTCACTGACAGAAACTTGTGTGTGACATGTTGCGTCTCGCACAGGACGCCTCTGCTCCTGGCCCACTGGAAACCTGTGAGCAGGCGCTGCCTGGCCGGGGGCACTTTCTGAAAGAGGGCTTCCACTGCCTCAGGCAGGTCTGCTAATGTCCTAGCATTTTCCCTAGCCTGGGTGTGCAGGAGGAGCCAGAGCTTAAACATAACTTGCCAAGTCCTCTGCTCCCCTGCCACTCTCAGGCGGCTGCCTCACAAGTTCACACTAACACACATGCATGTGCCCGGTTTACCAACCAGTGTCCAACAACCATTCCAGTTCACCTCATAGGCTCTTTGTCTGAAAGAGGTGAGTGGGGTCCACCAATGAAGTCCTCGACATCCCAACCCCACGCTCCGTGCCTCAACACCACCCTGGCCAAGTAGTCATAGTCCTCTCTCTCTAGTCAGATGCTTGGTGTGGCTCCAAGTAAAAGCGAGGTCCGACCCCCCTGTGGTGTCCAGCTGCACACCCCCAGATGGAGGGGGAGTCAGAATTGCTCACCCCTGGCCCATCTCAAGCCCCCTTCCCCTGGATGCTACAGTTGAGAGCTGGCCGCTTACCTCTTCTCTCCTGTTTGACTCTGGAGCAGCCCTTCACATGCTTCCCGATGCCATCAGCGGGGCAGCCTGACCATGGCCTCCAGGAGGGTCCCGAGTCCCAGGCTGTCTGGCAGCCCTGCCTTACTGGCCTCTGCTGGCAGCAGCCCGTGCTCTTAGGGATGGAACTGGCTAGGGTGTCGCTGCGGCTGCTCCTCACTGCTCTTCCTCACAGCGTGGCCTGCAGCTTCCTCAGTGCATGCTCCTTGCAGGTCCTGGGCTAGGGGTCCATCCCCAGGACGACTCAGCAGCCTCAGTTGAACTCCAGGTTCTTTGTGGAGGCTTTACATGCCGCCAGAGGAAACTGTGAGCGCAGCCTGACCCTGGTTGGCTGCAGGCACTTCTCTCCGCCCACTAGTGCAAGAGGATCCCCCAGGCCCCAGAAAGGCTCCGGGCCTCCCCTCAGCTCCAGACAGGGGCGGGCCGCCTGGTGATGTCACACTAGCTCTGGCCCCAGCTGGCCCAACCCCTCCTTCTTTGGCACAGGCAGCCTGGCCTGCTCTGCTCCTGGCTCACCCGCCTGCTACACTCCCTGAAGCCTGGTGTTCCTGGGGTGTCCTGTGCAGGAAGAGCACTTCCCCAATACTCAGGTAATGGTTGGGATCAGCTGCAGCTGTGCAAGCAGCTGCGTGGGAATCCAGCGGCTCACTCTTTTCCTGTGGGTCGCCCTACTAAGCTCCTCAGGCCTTCTCCAGAGGCCACATTCTTCTCTCCAGACCACTTTGTCCCCGCAGAAGGCCAGCCTGAGGTATAACCCACAGTGGACAGTGGAAGTACTGAATTGAGGACCACACTGGAAGGCAGCTGTCACCTACCACCTGAGTCGCCTATCTTGGGCTTCCTTTCCCTCGGCATAAGTGAGCCACAAGTCAACAACTGGGAACGTTCTGTTACAGGGTCAAGGGCAATGTGGGCTGAGTGGGGGCAGGTGGGCTGGACTCACATTCCAAGTCCCTGCTGTGCGACTCTGTCAGACTCGGTGAACAAATGATGAAGTCCCTTGGAGCTGTCAGTTGTGGGATTGGCTGTGATCATGGAACTCTAAGACTGTTTGGTGGTTCAGAGTAGAAAAGGGAAAGATGGCACTGATGTCCCTAAGCTAGAGTCCTCTAGATATGTCAGACCTGGGCTGGTTAGAGGAAGGCCAGGCAGGTTACTAGGCCTCCTGGAGGAGTGTGGGGAGGGGGAACCCTCGAGTCCCCCCCAACAGGCTCTCCTGTTGATATTAGCAGCGATGTTTCTTTGTACAGCTTTAGTGACAGTGACTTGTAGGTACACACTAGGAGGGAATCTTCAGTGGACCTCTCTTACACCAGGGCACCAGGAGGCACATCCTGGTCCCTAGAAAGACAGACTCATTGTGGTTTCCCTCTCCCCCCAGGACTGCCACCCTTCTGTTCAAGAAACACATTTTTTCCTTCCTTAGCTTCTCCTAAGCCTACCTGGCTCCCCCTTTTTCTGGCAGTCCCTTCCTTTCTTAGAAGAGACTGTGGACCTTATAGGACATCACTAGCCAGAGAGCTGGACGGGACAAGAAGTTAACTTCTACCAGCAGATGAAGATGCCACACACTCTGTGGTCTGCCTGGGACCTGGACAGGTTTCCTGTGGCCAAGCACCTCTCCTGAAGCTGTACCTTTGGCAGGAGGAGGTCTCTATATTCTTCAGCCCGAGACACACAGCACACTGAGGGTCTGTCCTGTCTTTTCCCTTTCCCCACTCTGTCATATCTCTCCTTCTCACTTCTGGGTGTGTTCGTGAAGATGCTGCTGTTAGCAAACACCCTGTCCTCTGACAGCTGATACCCCGAGCTGGGAGAGAGACCACGGGGTCTGAAAAGTGCTGGATACTGAGGGTGCATCTCATGGGGAGATGTAGCAGCCAGGACCAGCTACCTGATAAAGTAACTAAGCCCAGACCCATAGAATAGCTCAGACCCAGTAGGCAGTTCAGGTAGAGAAGGGAGAGTTGAGACTGGGAGGAGTAGGTAAAGACAAGGTGGTAGTTTGCTTCCTCAATGATGGCCCTAACACCTCCAAGTTACCAGGCATTCCTGACACTCCTCCCATGCTTTGTCCTCACAAGTCTGTGAGGGTACTGGTTTGTAACACTGTATCATGAGGAAAGGGGACCAGAGAACAGGTGGTCTGTTACAGGCAGGACCTAGAGCCTTGAGCAAATCAGAGCCTGAGTTCAGGGGTCACAGCTCACGACAGATAGTCTCGCCCCTCTAGCATGTGTGGAAAGTTGTCCCCAGATGCTTCCAGCCCCTAAGTACCAAGTTCCCCCTGCCTGTATTTATTCTCTGCCATGCAGTCTTCCTGTTGGGGTCCTGGATGTGAAAGAGAGAAAGAACTATCCACATCTGAATCCTGGCACACAGCTTAATGGAATAGTTGTTAGGATACTGAGTTTTGATGTCATTTGTTAGACCACAGTACTAGCTGGAGAAGATACTGCTGCAAGAGCAGTTATATGGCTCCCTTGTGTTTTGTTTTGTTTTGTTTGAGTCAGGAACCTATTATATAGCTAAGGATGGACTCAAACTCAAAATCCACCTACCTCAGCCTCCTGAATGCTGGGATTGCAGGCACATCCCACCATGCCCAGTCACAAGGCATTCCTTAAGTGGAGCTGAGAGAAGAGCATTTTGGTTGAGGAGAGATGAGGCCCTATTAGAGAGGTGGAATTAAATGCCAAGGAGCCAGTAACAGTCTTTAAAGAAACACATGGCTGGGATTGTCTTAGTAAAAGACCACCATTGAGGGGCCTGCCACTGGGAGCCGCAGGCCAGCCATCTGAAGCTGCGGCTATGGTTGTAGTCAGTTGGTGAGAAAGACAGTTGGAGGCCCTAGGACTTACTTAATGGCAAAGGGAGTCTTCAGGACCACCACAGCCTTGGCTGACAGATGCAGCGCATGCGTGCAGTTTATCGTGGTATTTCTGTTTGAGTAATCCCAAGCTCTAACACTGCCATCAAGTGGGGAAGAGCCCCAGAGTAGCCTTGTCCTGCCCATATTTGCACAACCCTTGCCCTTTGGGGACCTGAGGCAGTCCTGGTGGGGAGCTCAGGCCTCGGAGTGAGTTTCTGCTTCCACCACGTAGTTCCTCTGAACCTTCTTCCCTTTTCCTCATTTGTATGTGGGTAATGTAAACATCTACCTCAGAGAACTATGAAAGAAAGTGAATGAGGGGCTGAGGAGATAGATGGTTCAGCTCTTGAGAGCACTAGCTACTCTTCTAGAGGCTCTGATTTCGATTCCCAGCACCTGTATGATGGCTCACAACCATCAGTAACTCAGTGCCAGGGGATCTAGCACCTTCTTCTGGTCTCCTTGGGTACTGGGTACCCAGACAAACACAGAGGCAAACCATACACATAAAATAAAAACATTCTGAAAATATTGAATAAGATGTGACGCGTTAGTTCAACAAGTCTGGCTGTGTTCAAGCCAGTGAGTGTAGGTGCAGTAATCTGTTACCTCCTTTACTGCTCTCTCAGCTCCTGTGCGGACATGCATTCCCTCATGGTTTCTGGTTCTGAGACAGAATCTCATGTATTCTAAGGACTGAACTGAACTGTGTAGCCAAGGATGACTTTGAACTTCTGATCTTCCTGTCTCCACTTCACGGCTGCTGGGGTACAGGCATGCTGTGCATCGCTAGTCCTGGATTTTGTGGAGCTGGGGGGTCAAACCCAGCGCTTCATGCATGGTAGGCAAGCGCTCTGCTGAGCGTCCCTCCAGGCTTGTTTCTGTTGTTTCAGACAGGGTCTGGCTGTTTAGCACAGGCTGTCTTGGGACACAGGGTCTCTCCACCTCGGCCTGAGTTGCAGGCAGGTACCATCACACTTGACTTTAATTGTTTTTTTTTTTCTTTCACCCCTCTGTCGTCTTTGAAGTTTTCCTCTTCTCTTTGGCTTCTCACAGTCTGTGATAGGTTAATAGTGATGCTCTTTGCATGATTTTCCCATGGTGTTCCCTGAATCTCTTGTTCCAGTGGCTGCTTTTCTCTTTCACTAAATTTAGGACAGGGGCTTTATTTCTTAGATGTTTTTGTACAGTGCTTTCTCTCCCTCCTCCTTCAACTCCATTTACACGCTGTTGTCACTGGAAGTTTGTCCTCCCCTGATTCGGTTCAGATCTTTTCTCTGGTTCCTGTTGTGTTGACCCTTTCTTTCTTCTGTGTAGCAATCCGTTAATTTCAATGGAAACGTTTTGTTAGGTACTATACTTTTCATTTCATAATTTCCACTTGGACTTTTTTAAAAGACAGACTCTTGATAGGTAGCCCAGGCTGGAAACTCTGTATAGCCCAGGCTGACCTCAGACTCAGAGATCCTCCTGCCTCTGCTTCTCTGGTACTGATATTAAAGATGTGCACCACCATGAACAGCTAAATTCAAAACAAACAAAATCCCAAGAAGCTGGAGGATAATTTTATTGGAACATGAGAGAAAACAAAAAATAGGACAGGAAAGCTGGAGACCACAGCAGTTGCTGGAGGAGATGGATAAGTGAGGCTTGAGAAAAGTTATGCTTTCTGAGTGAGAGGTCAAGAGATCAGAAGTCAGCAAGCTGCTGAGCACAGGAGGTAAATATGCCCTGAGGGTCAAGACCAGAGTAGTTTGGCTGCTCTCTTGAAAAGGGAAATGATTGGGGGGGGGGACACATTTGCTGAATTCAGGCTCAGATAGCTTCAGCACTGTGGGTCTATGAGATGACCTGGAGGGAGTGATAAGCTCTGTGGGAAGGCGCGGCTCGAGTGTCTGTCACATTGCTCTCCGTCTTCTTGAGGGTGTGAAACTGCATTTTCTCCTTATCACAAGAGATCTCTGGCTTCATCTGGACAAGGGACACTTCTGTTGTTATTAACCATTGCCTAGGTCATTTGTAAGGTGCTTTCTGACCACCAGCTATGATATGTGTCACGTCTGTGTTCATATGTCTCCAGAAATGGGGAGGGATACCTACTCTTTCATTCTTTGTGTGGCTGTCATTTCTCTTCTGAGAGGACCTGTTTTGACCTTCATTTTTTGAAACTCTTATTTTCATTTGTTAAAAAAATATTTATTTTGTGTGCATTGATATTTTGACTGCATGTATGTCAGTATGAGAATACCAGATTGATTCCATGAAACTGGAGTTACAGGCAGTTGTGAGCGGCCACATGGGTGCTGGGAATTGAACCCGGGTTCTCTGGAAGAGCAGCCAGTGCTCTTAACCTCTGAGCCATATCTCCAGCTCTTGAATAGCCATCCTCAAATCCTTGTCTACCAAATCTAATATCTGAGTTGGGGCGGGCGGGGGGTGTGTGGATTTTTTTTTCCTTGATCACGCATCACACATTTCTGCTTCTTAGTGTCTCTGAGACT